AAACTGCAGGAGGCATACAAACTAGTATTTCAGCGATGGAAGAACCGTTCAAAGCATGAACAAATTCATCGATTTCCGCAAAAGTTAATAATTGTTCTCAAGCAACGAATCATTCCATTATTGCTCAAATACATTGTCATAGTCTGTTAATGGCATATGGCGCTGAATGCTATTCGTAACACTGTCCATCGCACGGAAACCTTGATCGTTTCTACAACTTTGACGATCATTTCGAAAAAGATTTTGTTGTTAAAAAGTAGTTACGTCACTCTTATTGTCTGCTGTACTTTTGGAAAGTTACAGAAATTAATCCATCTACCTCGGAACAATGACTGTGAGTGATGAATCGAACGTATGACAATTATTCTGAAATATTTGTCAAATAATTATATTATCATGTTTATATACGATGATTTTAAAACCTAAATTATTTTCTGCTACATGTTGCTATCAATCAGTCAATCAATCGACAGACAGAACTCTCAGCATTAACTCAACTATTGGTCTTGTGCAGAGATGAACACGATGCTGTCTCAGCATTACGCACCGTCTTGAAATGTCATTGACATAATAACCGACCGACCGACACCATGATGGGACTAATTTAATATTCAAATGAATTAGTCACCGATACTGTATTATTTGTCGCAGCAGTTGCGGACAAGCAGCAGTTGGACCACCAGGGCCTGGTCGGATCCGATTTCGACAAGTTCGAATGTCAGAGGAAAAGTCACACGACAGTTTCTTGACGAGATGAAAGCGGTCCTCCTTTAGGAATAAGAAAGGCTGCCAGTGTCACCAATGCCTTGCAGTTAGATATCGGTTCGTCAAAGGTTAGAAGAGAAGCTTCGATAGAAATCCGGATAGAATTGGAGGAGCGTCTGTAGGAAATTCTCCAAGCAACTGTCAGCTTTGTCAGCGGGGGTAAGGGGGGGCAAGACTTCATTCATTCACTATGACAACAAGAATAAATGAGCCTCAATACCCTGGGCATCTCTCGATCTGGGATCTCATCTGG